TAGACTAAATAAAAGCAGGAGCTTATGAAGATAAATTACTACACACACAACCTACCTAAAATTCTTGTATGTAGAGGCTAAGTAGATTTCAGGTACAGGTTATAACTAGAAATTCTGAGGCTAGGGGCAAATTAACTGAGGTGATAATTAGGGGAAAAGGAATAGAACCTACATGTTCTACAATGTTTATAGTGGCTCTCTTTGTGGTAGCAAAACACTGGAAATTGCAGAGATGTCCATCATTTGGGGAATGACTGGACAAGTTGTGCTATATGATTGTGATGAAATACTAATGTGCTATAAGAAATGATGAGCTCAATGGTTTTAGAAAAACATGGAAAGACTTGCATGAAATAATGAAGAGCAAAATTAGCAGAACCAAGAGAATGTTGTATGCATAACAACAATATTGTTTTAATAACAACTTTGAGTGGATGTTATTTTGACTATTATAAATACCCAAATTAACTCCAAAAGGCAGATAAGGAAAGATTCTATCTGTATTCAGAGAAAGAACTGATAAATAGAAGTGTGTATAGAATAATTTTACATCCATCCATATGTGTGTGTATACATATATATGTACAAATATATATACATATTTATCTGCATCTAATGTCTAGGGTGGGGGGTAAGAAGGAAGAAGAAAAAAAGAAATTTACATGATAATTTCATTATGCATTTAAAAGGAATAGCAAGTTGTGCATAGTAGATTTGTAGTTTCATGTGCAAACATTTTGTTTTATTATACTATGTTATGGAAAAGCTTGTTTTAGTCCATAAGTTAATAAAATTTTAAAAATTAAATGAGGAAGTTCATGTCCCAGAGAGTCTGTTCCATACTCTTACCACAGTAAGGAGGAAAACAGGTATCAGGATTGGGGCACGAGGCAATGTAAACCTGAGCATAATAACTTGTAGCTATCCCATTTAGTCCATGTTGGCTATCGGAGGACTTTGAGGCAAGGCAGAGGGATGGCAGTTACCAAAGGAAGTATGATCTCCAGGAAGAAAATTACCCTTCCTGGAAGTGTCTACTTCCATTAGAAGTCAGCACCCCACTTACTCATATTAGTTATAGCTCCAGTAGTGGGAATAGAAAGGATTTTTTTCCCCCCAAAAATATTTTGCATTTGTACAACACCATGGTCATGGACACTTTTACATACTTTATTTCATTTTATCTTTACATTAACTGTAGGTGGTAGAAAGAGGTTGTCACTCCTTTTTAGAAAAAAAAAAGAAACAGGCTCAGAATAGTGAAATGATTTGTATTTGGTCGCATGGAAGATCAAACCCTAGAGTCTAGATGTTTTGACTCCCTGTCTAATGCATTTCCCATTACACTATGTTTTTTCCCCAAGCATTTGAGGAACCTATGTTATTTTTCATGCATAATTTATTTGACATTAGCCTATTTTTCTGTTCTATAAGAGAGGAAAGCTTCCAAATTGCCTTCAGGCAAACAATCTAGCTTCAGAAAATACTAATACCCAGTTTTAATGTTTAAGCCTTCCAGATTTTTTATCCAAAGTTGTCCTTTGGAATAACCAATATAAGTAGAAAAAAAAGTTTTCCTTAGGCAATTAGCATTTTAATATCGTGTAAAAGCCAAATAAAACAAAAATCCATAAACTTTGGGGCAATGTTCAGTAATGCAATTACTAAAGATTCCTGGATGGCTGAGGAAGGCACCCCACGAGATTTTAACTTTAGGAAGTTTTCATTTAGTCCCAAGACAAACACAGAGTGAGAGGCAGAAAGAGATCAAAGATAGTAGGCAAAGAAATGAAAGAGGATGAAAATCATACAGATGGAACTTAAGGGAAGATCATCCTTCTTTTCTGACAACTTCACCTGCAATCACCATTGACTTTTTGCACACAATGAAATGGAATTCAAGTCAGCAAAATTCAACCTGAAAACATCTGTTTGGTTTGTATTGTGTTCAATGCATTGGGGACACAAAGGTGTATATGTTAAATGATGGGTAATTTTCAAACATCTCACAGAAAAAAAATGTACTTTATTTTTTGTCATTATTCCTTATTTTTTTTTGCATTATTACCCCTATAACTATAGTTTTGTGTGCAACTGTATAGGACTTATTGCTTTTCAAACAACTTTTACTTATTTATAGCATCTTAATATGGCAACCATGCTGAAGAGTAGGAAGTCTTTCCTGATCCCATAGCTGTTAGAACTCACTTTCAAAATTAAGTTATACTACTTTATATTGATTGATTTGGATCCATGTTGCATCCCTCCAGTAGAAAATAAGGTCCTTGGCAGCAGGAATGATTTCTCTTTTTTATCTTTGTATTCTCTTGAATGTAGTAGATACTTAATGTATGTTTATGGTAAAGTATACGCTGGCCTGTGTGGTGTCTAAATGTGTGGACAGATAGCTTATGGGGAGGCAATGATAGCTATCTCTGGAATCTTGCCTATCCCTCTCCAAGGAGGATTATAATTCCTGCCCTGAGGGGAGTAGAAGGGACCATGAGACTGCCCTCTTTGTTCTCCTCTGAGACAGTGGTACCAGACTAGAATTACCAGGTTAATATACTAAAATTCCACTATGTACTGCTGATCTAGGAGCACAATTTTGGTTCAATACAAAAAGCTTCTAGCTTTGTTGACCATTATCTATTGAAGATGGAAATTTGCCTCAAGTCCACACTCACTGGCTAAGCCTCTTCCTGCCAAATGTAGCTTACAAAAAAACCCATCACAAATATTGAAAATTGAGTAAAATAATTTATCCAAGCAAATAGCAAACAGATATCAGAAAAGTTCTACAGGTTAAAATATACTAGAACATGCATAAGAATGAATTAACTATTTAGATGGCAGTGAAATGTGAGAATTCACTCAACCAAAGCGGAAACCCCAGCCTCACCCAAGGAGAAATTCCCAAATTTGCTAGGGAGACAAACTGGAAATCAGGAACATATTAAAAATCTGACTTCCTCTATATGTCTACAAGAGAGTCTTTCTCTTTCTCCTCCCTGGTTGGTCTGAAAGAGAGTCTGGAAATGCATGCATCTCACAAAGAAGAAATGAGAACGATCTTTCCTCTTCAGAGTTCTCACATCAACCTCACATAGGTACATAAAACATGACATTATTCTTTCTACCAGTTAGGAGAGGTTTATATAAGATGTTCCATACTAATTCATGACCAAAGAGGAGATAGAGAACATCACGAAAAGCAAAATGGATAATTTTGATTACATTAAATTGAAAAGTTTTTGCACAAACAAAGCCAATGCAGCCAAGATTAGAAGGAAAATTGGGAAAGAATTTTTACAACCAGTGTCTCTGATAAGGGCCTCATTTCTAAAATATATAGAGAATTAAGACAAATTTATAAGACTACAAGTCATTCCCCAATTGATAAATGGTCAAAGGATATGAACAGGCAGTTCTCAGATGAAGAAATTAAAGCCATCTATAGTCATATGAAAAAATGCTCTAAATCACTATTGATTAGAGAAATGCAAATTAAAACAACTCTGAGGTACCACATCACACCTATCAGATTGGCCAACATGACAAAACAGGAAAATGATAAATGTTGGAGAACATGTGGGAAAATTGGAGCACTAATGCATTGTTGGTGGAGTTGTGAAATGATCCAACCATTTTGGAGAACAATTTGGAACTATGCCCAAAGGGCTATAAAAATGTGCATACCTTTTGACCCAGCAATAGCACTTCTAGGGCTATCCCAGAGAGATCATACAAATGGGAAAAGGACCCATATGTACAAAAAATATTCATAGCAGCTCTTTTTGTGGTGGCAAAGAATGGGAAATTGAGAGGATGCCCATCAATCAGGGAATGGTTGAACAAGTTGTGGTGTATGAATGTAATGGAATACTATTGTGCTATAAGAAATGATGAACAGGCTGACTTCAGAAAAACCTGGAAAGACTTGTATGGTCTGATGCTGAGTGAAGTGAGCAGAACCAGGAGAACATTGTACATAGTAACAGCCACATTGTGCAATGACTAATATTGATAGACTTAACCCTTCTCAGCAATACAAGGATCTAAGACATCTCCAAAGGCCTGCTGGTAGAAAATGCTATCCACAAAGAAGAAAGAACTATGGAGTTTGAATGCAGATTGAATCATACTATTTGCTATTTTTTTCTTCTGTCGTGTTTTGTTTCCTCTTTCTGGTGGTTCCTCCTATTGGTTCTAATTCGTACTTACAACATCACTAATGTGAAAATATGTTTAATACAAATGTATATGTATAGCCTACATCAGATTGCGTACCATCTTGGGGAGGGAAGGGGTGAGGGAGGGGGAGAAAAATGTTAAACTCAAAAGCTTGTGGAAGTGATTGTTGATAATTCAAAATAAATTAATTTTAAAAAGATGCTCCATACTTGCCTAGAAACCTAGGCTACAGGAAAATTGTATCAGAGATCCAAAGCTGGAAGAAATCTCATAGATCATTTAGCCCAATCTCCTCATTTTACAGAGGAGAAAACTAAGTACCAGGGTAAAATTAATTTGAATTGATTTATTGTAATTAACAGGGTGGGTCATTATTAGCCTAATTTTATGGATGAAGAAATAAATATTAAAAAGTTAATTGATTTCCTCAAGGTCACACAGTCTGTGTATTCTGACTCCTAATTTCATCTTCTTCCCACTATACTTAGCAGGACCACATACGAGGCTATGTCTCAGTACTGAATATATAAAATATACATGGGAATTATATTAGGAAATAAAAATATGTGCTTTCTTCATTATATATAGAGGAGGCTTGACACATGGTTTGTTATGATGCAGTATGATATTGTGGGGGGAAAAAAACAATACTCTTAGACTAAGAAGTCCTGAATTTCAGGCTTCACATCACTTAATAACTCTATGAACTCGGTCAACTTGCTTCACTCTTTGAGGTCTCTTTAACTCATTTATAAAATCGGTATAATCATGCTTGCAGTGCCTGCCTTATAGAGTTGTTGTAAATAATGTGCTTTGTAGCTTTTGGGTTCCTGGCTTCCAAGATAACCAAGAAGAAGAAGTCCAACCGTCTCGCCAAGAAGGGCCGCGGCCACGTGCAGCCCAGCCACTGCACCAAATGCGCCCGCTGCGTGCCCAAGGACGAGGCCATCAAGAAGCTCGTCAGCTGCAACATCGTGGAAGCTGCGGCAGTAAGGGACATTTCCGAGGCCAGCGTCTTCGACTCCTATGTGCTGCCCAAACTGTATGTGAAACTCCATTACCGTGTGAGATGCGCCATCCACAGCAAGGTAGCGAGGAATGGGTCCCGTGAGGCACGAAAGAATCGGAGACCCCCACCCCGCTTCAGACCCGCTGGTGCTGCTCCCAGACCCCCTCCAAAGCCTATGTAAAGAGCTATCTGCCCATCAACATTCCTGGACTGATCAGAGGAAAATAAATGGTGGGTCAACCTTAAAAAAATTAATAATAATGTGCTTTGTAAACCTTAAAAAGGGCTATGAAAATGTAATATAAGAGACAGCGTGATATTATGGATAGGCCACTGGCCTTGAAATCATGAAGACGGAGTTTCAAATCCCACCTCAGACACTAAGTAGTGGTGTGACCCTAGCTGAGTCATTCAACCTCTTTCTGCCTTAATTTCTCCAGATATAAATTAAGGAGTTGGATTTAATATTCTCCTAGTTTCCTTCCAGCCCTAAAATCTATGATCTTCTGATTTTCATAAAATGATGTATTGATTCACAGATTATATAGATACAAAGCTCCTTCCTTGTTGATTTTAAAAACAAGCAAAAAAAATCACTTCATAAATTACATAAAGTGCAGTAGAATCCATTTAGAGTATGAAAAAAAATGTCTCATTATCCTCATTGTATTCTCCAGCTGCAAGTAAGGCTAATCGTTGGTAATTCATCAAACATGTAAGTTTTTCGCATGTGCCAGACACATACTGGACATTGAGGATGCAGAGACAAAAATGAAATGCAAGCAGCATATATTCTACTGGGCAAAGTTATGAAGTCTCAAAAATATATCTTGTCTTCCATGTTCCCACCCTTTGCCTTCTCTGCCTGTTACTGTCCTTGGTGCTGACTTCTCCCCTTATTTAGTCATCCATTGTCTTCTCTTTTTGCCCTGTGCATTACGGAAATGGAAGGATCTCTTCTCCATCATTTACATTTGACTGACTTACTGATACCAATTTAATGTGCAAGAAATTCAATTTATCACCTCAACACATTTTAAGGTTTTATTTTCTAACTGTGGAATAAAATATTTTGTCAGCAAGAGATTGTTGCAGGGAGGAGAGAGGAAGAGGGAAATGTTGAAGAGAAAGGGCATCAATGACAACGGACTTTGGAATCATAATACCTTGGTTGATTCCTCAGAGATAGTTTAGTCCTTTGCTCTTCTAGGAAGAATGAACCGAGGGATGTCCCAGGTGGGATTCCTAGAGACATAGTTCTAGGCACAGCTAGGGAGTAGAGTAGCCTGTGTATTTTATCAACAGCTTCTTCCAGAAGCTGAAATCCACCATGTCCCAATATAATATTAATATTAATCATCATAAGCTAGGAACCTTCCCAGTAAGATCAGGTGTGAAGTAAGAATGCCCACTGTCACCAATATTATTCATTATTATACTGGAAATCCTAGCAATAGCAATAAGAGAAGAAAAAAGAAAGAGAAGGAATTTGAATAGGAAATCAGGTAATAAAACTATCTCTTCTGCAGACAATATGATGATTTACTTGAAAAATCCCAAAGACTCAACTAAAAAGTTAGTTGAACAATTAATACTTTTAGCAAAATAGTAAGATATAAAGTAAATCCACATACATAAATCATCAGTGTTCCTATATATCACAAACAAAAGCCTACAAGAAGAGATAGTAAGAGATACCCCATTTAAAATAACTCTAGACAGTATAAAATACTTGGGAGTACACCTGTTAAAAAAAATGTTGAAAAAGTTGGAAAACAGTTTGGCAGAAATTGAGCATAAACAATATCTTGCACCATTTACCAAGATAAAATCAAAATGGATATATGACCTAGATATAAAGAGAGATATTACAAGAAAATTTGAAAAACATGGAACATATTACTTATAAGACTTATGGATGGGTGAACAATTTATGAATAACTAAGAGATAGAAGTGTGAGGTATAAAGAGGATAATTTCAATTACATTTAATTAAAAAGGGTGTGTAAACATAAAACAAGGGTAGCCAACATCAGAACAAAAGCATAAAATTTTGGAAAAATTTTATAGATAGTTTATCAGATAAAGGTCTCACATCTCAACTATATAATAATAAACTATATTTGTAAAATCTGTAAGAATATAAATCATTCCCAAATTGATAAATGGTCAAAGTATATAAACAGACAGTTTTCCGATGAAGAAATCAAAACAATTTATAGTTAGGTGAAAAATGCTCTAAATCATTATTGATTAGAGAAACGCAAATTAAAACAACTATGAAATATCATTTTATACCTATCAGACTGGCTAAAATAATTGAAGGTAAAGGTGACAAATGTTGGAGGGGACGTGGAAAAATTGGAAAATTAATTCCCTGTTGGTAGAACTGTGAACTAATTTAAGCATTTTGGAGAGCAAGCTGGAATTATGCCCAAAGAATTATCAAACTGCCTATACTTTTTGTCCCAGCAATACCACAACTAGGCCTATTTCCAAAGATAATTATGGAAAAAGAAAAGAGCCTATATGTTCTAAAATATTTATAGTAGTTCTCTTCACAGTGGCAAACAATCAGAAATTGTAGGTATGCCTATCTATCGGGGAATGGCTGAACAAGTCATGGTGATTGTGATGGAATACTACTGAGCTATAAGAAATGATGACCTCAATGATCTTAGAAAAATGGATAGATTTGCACAAAATAATGAGGAGTGAAATGAGTAGAATCAATAGAACATTGTATACAGTCATAGCAATTTTGTTTTTGTTTTTGTTTTTGACTAGGCAATGGGGTTAAGTGATTTGCCCAGGGTCACACATCCAGTAAGTGTCTGAGGCCGGATTTGAACTCAGGTCTTCCTGAATCCAGGGCCGGTGCTCTCTCCACTGTGCTACCTAGCTGCCCTGCAATTTTTGTTTTAAGAACAACTTCGAGTGAATAAGTCATTTTGATTATTATAAACACCTGAATTACAGGACAGCTAGGTGACACAGTGGATAGAGAACCAGCCCTGGAGTCAGGAGGACCTGAGTTCAAATCCAGCCTTAGACACTTGACACTTACTAGCTTTGTAACCCTGGGCAAGTAACTTAACCCCATTGCCTAGCAAAAATAAATAAATAAATAAATACCCAAATGAACTACAAAGGATCTATGAAGGAGGGTGATACCTGCACCCACAGAAAGAACTGATAAATACCATTATGTATAGAATTATTTTACATATATATTTACTTATTTGTGTCTAGTGGTAGCCATCTCTAGGGCAGGGAACAGGGAGGGAAGAAAAAAAGAAAAAAAAGGTTACATTATGACTTTTTGTACATAACAGATTTGTAGTTTCATGTGCAATCTTTTTTTTTCTATTCTATGTTATAGAATTTTTTTCACTTCTTAATTTCACAATAAAATAAATCAATAAAAATCCTTTATACCCACTCTAGTTCCCTTTCCTTCTACCCCAATCTAAACTCCCTCATCTTCTCTGCCTCAAGACACGTAGATGTGTTTTCTCTTGCCCATTCAACATTAACTTCTGTTAATACTTGATAAAATATTTGTGCAGGAAATCCCCCTTGTCTGACATCTTGTTATGCATCTAAATATATCTATTCTCCTACCACAGAAATGAAGTTTCTGACAAAGAAGTGGACCCTTGAGATCCATTCTCTTTGATGACACAACATTTATGCTGGGCACAAACATACTTTTGAAGTATGAAAGGTTTGAACTTATTCCTCATGTGTGTACATACTTTCATCTCCTTCCCTCTGGCTGGCTTTTTCTTTTTCTCCCTTCCCCTTTTTGGGTGCCTCTATGTCAGTGTCTATAGCATGGGCCTTCAGTAACAAGAGTTAAAAACATTTCCCTTCATGTTGGTCTCTGAAAATGTAAACATTGGCAACCAATTTCATCCTTTCCCTGGAGCTGAGAGGGCAGGGTCTGCCTAATCATAGTCAAACTCTTTTCTTCTGCACAAAACACACACAAAATAAAGATGAAAAATATGGCCTCCTCTGTTTTTGAGTTAGAATTTTGGGCAAAGTGATGATATTCTTTTTCTTCCATCTCTCCTTAGTAAAAAATCTTACCTACTCTTCCAAATCTAGTTCAGATACTACTTCCTCCATGCAGCCTACACTGATCTCTATGCCCCCAACAGAAATTATCTTTACCTTTTCAAAGCTTGCTTTGCCCTTTGTTCATATCAATCAATAAACATTTATTAAGTACCTACTTGTACCATGCTTAGACCTGGAATTACAAAAAAAAAATGAAACAACCTTAATCTTAAGGACCTTACATTCTATTGGGAAAGACCACTCATACATATAAAAATATATACAGAATGCATTTTTTAAAATACAAGGTAGTCAAGGAGATAGAACACTAACTAGCCCTGGCCCAGGGTTGGAGGTCAGGAAGTGAGGAGGATAAAGAAAGCTTTTGTGCAGAAGGTAGTACTTGAGGGATCCTATGAAACAGCCCTGAGGAGGGATTTCAAGGATGGGAAATGGTCAGGGGATAAGAGATGGAGTGCTATACCTTAAGATCAGAGAGAAGCCCACTTTGGCTGGATTGTAGAGTGATAGAAGGAAAGAAATGTTTAAGGAAGTTGGAACATAGGTTGGGGTATATTGTGAAGGGTTTTAAAAGCCAAACAGATGAGTTATAGTTTATCATAGAGGCAATGTAGAGCCACAAAAATTTACTGAGTAGGGACTATATAGGCAGATTTACCATATGGTAGATTTTGGATGCTGTGTGGAGGGGGGGTTAGAGTGGGGAGAGATTTGAGGTAAGGAGATCAAGGAGGCTATTGCAATAATCTAGGCAAGAGATGATGCGGGACTGAACTAATGTAGTAGCCAGATAAATACAGAGAAGTCGAATGAAAGAGATATTGTGAAGGTTGAAATGTCAAGGTTTGGCAACTGACTAGATATGTAGGGTAGAGGAGAGTGACAAATTACAGATAATGCTGAGACTGTGAACCTGGGTGACTGAAAGAATGGTATCACCTTTGACAGAAATAGAGAAGTTTGGTAGAGAGATGGACTTCAGGGAAGAGATAATGAGTTCTATTTAGTATGTGTTAAGTTTAATGTCTCCAGGACAACCAGATGAAATGTCTAAAGGGCAGCTGGTAACATGGGAATGGTATTGAAGAGTCAGTC